TCTTCCCTGTCTGTTATACAATGTGTATTTCAATGTATATGTAGTTCAGTGGCTGCTCTACAAAGGTACTGCTCTGACTTCAGTCTTCCATCACACACCAGGAAAACAGGCACAAATTCTTCCTTTCTTCGTGCGATGTTATCAGGTAAATGTCTGATGACTGCTGCAAAAAGGTTTTTTTTATATGATGAGATCTAGCGCACAGCAGCTATCACATTGTGCCATGTTCTTCTGACAGTATGGGGGCTGTCCTGCTCTTGTGATGGTTGAGGGACAGTAAATGCATGATACGGAAACAATTCAGTGTTTTTGAAAAAATACATTTAAGCACTTTCCGTGGTTTTGCCCTCAGACTAGTATAAGCACACAAAGCTGTCAGCTGCTCACAAGAAGGTTGATTTTTGTTGTTCGTAGCTAACGGATCTCGCCCAGCTCTTTCTTCAAAGTAGCCGGGTATGGGCTTCAACAGCATCACTTTTTCTTAAAGTCAGAAGGTTAAAAAAAATGCCCCCTTTTGCCCTTTTAAGTGAGATTCACATTAAAGCTTATTGAGCGGATCATGTCTTGATCTTTAAATAATTTATAGTATTTTACAGCTCAAATCCTACCTGAGGATTTACTGTATTTACAAATAATCTTTGAACCCTTGGCTGTTAACGCTGCTGAGATTCATAGTTAGACTTGACATCTCTTCTATAAAGGTGGAAAAAACATTGGTTTCAATTTGCATCTGGAGACGTAATGTAGGCAAATATAAAGAAACAAGTGTGCACAGCAATTCCAGTGCAGCATATCTTTTGTCCATTTATAAATTGCTTTGCATAAATTGATCAATTATATATAACATTGATAATCTGGTTCCTTCGTAGGTTTCAAAGCTGCATTGAAGAGCCAAGGTCCTCTGTGTATCCTGGAGCATTTTGACACTGCGTACAGCATTTTACAGTGAGTACGGACAGGGGAGCCGGGTGATCTGTGTAACTATGACCCAAGGGGAGACTGAAGTGGAAACGGAATAGAAGATCAAACACAGTCTGTCCTAATGGACAGAGGAAGAGGGGATGAACATGGGTGAGGAGGAAGAATAAGAGGAAGGAAGAATGCAGGAAAGCTGGGCAATACCCTGGAGCTGTGGTCTCCACCTCTGGATTTCAAGAGCCGTAAAGGGGAACTGCAATGCTACTTTTATGTCAGAGTTAGAAGAATTAACATTGATACGTGTATTTCACACCACAGTAAAGGTAAAATGCGCACGGTAACATGTAAAACCTCCGATTTACATCACAATACAGTGGAAATTTCGTGGTCTGCGCAGCACTGTGTTGTGCGATTCGGAAGAAGGCAAAGAAACTTCCGGGGAGGTGAAAGCCTCGTTTCATGTTAAACATGTGGGCTTGTGAATGCATCTCTTCTAATCCAGGGGTAATATGGCTCTGGACTTCAAAATGGTTTTCTCGATAAATGGAACTTGTTAACTCTGCTCGCAGGTCACGTTGGAAACTTTCTGTGGTGAAGTATCAGCTGCACAACCTGTACTTATTCTCTCGCCCAGTCGCATCACCATCGTCACTACTGTGACAGGTGATCCGGAAGGGCCGCATCACGTCCCAGTTTGTGCACAGTCTTGCTCTGGCCCCTGGCCATGCCAGGGTTTTACGACAACATGGCGACTTGCGAGGTCGCGGTTTCGTGCTTCATTTGAAATATGTCATTTTTTTCTTTTTATGCCATCAGTTTATTTTTGTTACGGAGATTTCAGGAGAAATCGGGAGTCCTGTTTCCCTTTAAGAGGTGTCTTTGTTCAGTGGCTAAAGATCTTCTCTGTGAAGTAATTAAGCAAATAAGCGGTCCCGTTCTGTAGTCTTGGGATCTTTGTAGATCTTTAGGATCTGGGTCACAGGCTCTACCCATAGCTTGGTGACAAGTTCCTTAAGCAGACGTGGCCCCATATATAAAAGTTTATATAAAATGCAGCCCTCTGTGGAGTTCTGTGTTTTCCAGCTCGGAAAGACAGGTTTCAGGTTTACTATGGTGAAGACTTTATTTCCAAAATTAAGCTAACATATAGTTTAGTATTTTTAGTTTTACATTCCTGTTGCCCTGTGATGAGGATCTGGCAAAGTTGAGCTGCTTGGCTGGGAGGCTGGGTGTGCTCTCTTGATGGCTGGTAATCTTGGCAGGGCTGTAGAGCTTGGCGGCTCTGCTGTAAGGGCCAGCCCACAACAAACCAAGCCCCTCTCCTCCATCTCCATTTATAAAGAAAGAAATGGACCGAGGATGAAGGGCTGACAGTGTGTGTGTGAGTGTGATTTGTATGTCTCTTTAGTTTGTGTGTGTCTGTGTGTTTGAATCAGGAGGCAGTCACACTCAGTTCTCTCCTGGATAAAGTCAGTCAGCTATGAGCAACTTCTTTGGTAATCTGAGGGCTCAGGAGTTACTTGATTGTATTTTTTATTCTTGGTGTTAAGACAGTATAGCGTCCTGTCACTTTCTATTAAAGGATCTCTACCTTACCTTACCTGTATCTCCAAGTTATATTTGTGTTCTGTTACATTGCTCAATGATCTCAATGTGCTAATTGAGAATCCCTGGACTATAGTAACCTTTGCTCTTCTTCTTCAGACACTTTCAGACTGCAGACAGTGCTGTAAAAGCCGACACTCTGGACATACTCTTAAAAGGTTAGTTTTTTTTTTCTCTTCCTGTTTATGTCTTGGTCATGAGCTTTGTTTAGCTGCTGACGGTTAACTGTACACTCTCTTTTGTTCTGTTTTTTTCCTCTTTTCCCTATCAGTGGCATCTGATAGTCACCTACTCTGCTCTCCTCAATTTCTGTCACTGTGTAAAGTCTCACTTCATTGTGTTGTTTAAGGGGAACTGCAGGTCTGTGTTTATATTCCGGGGTTTGGAAGATTCAGCATTGATGAGTGCATTTCAAAACCACAAAGACAGTAAAATGTACACAGTAACGTATGATTTCATTGTCTGTGTAGAGCCACGTTCTGCAATTCAGAAAGAAACAGTGTTCTGCAACAAAACTTCTGGCGATGTGACGCAACCTTATTACGTTATAAACTAGCAGGCTTGTGAACACATCTTTTTAAAACCAGTAGGAATATTGCTCTTAGATTAGATTGCTCTTATCTCTACTTAGAGACGGTTTTGCCGAAACATACTACTTGTTAACTCTGCGTCCAGATCCCATGGGAACATATCTGGGATGAATTGTCTGCTGCACAACCTGTACTTACATAGTACATCACTCATTTCAGTGGTGAGCAAGCAGGAAGGGCTGCACCACCCACATCCCAGTTTGCACAAATGCTCCACAACATGGTGACTATACAGTTCTGTCAAAAACTTCACAGTGTTTGTGAAATTTTGCAATCCCGTCAGTGAGTCTATTTTGTGACCGAGATTTAAAAGCTGGTCTGAGGATTTGGGCCTGCAGTTCGATGTAAATTGCTGAATGAGTTGCTGTTATTTGTTTAGTTTTTACTGGTGTGTGCTTAGGATAGAACGTGAAGATGTTTTGGGTGGACTCTGTCTATTATTGGCTTTATATTGTACATTTGCATGTCTTTCAATTGTATGAGCTCACCAAACTAAATTCGATGCACCATGTTGTCATGGCGATCAAGTGAAGTCTTTTTCCTCAGCACTGTGTTCATGCCCTTGCCTGTTCATCTTCCCCATTCCTTCTCTCTCAGTGGTGTCCGGCCTGTCCGCATCTCTCCCTGCTCTCCTGGATTCCTCTTCTCTTTCCCCGGCTGACCGGAAGCTACAGCTGAATACAGTGAAGATGGGCGTCTTCCTGCTGTGCAAATTGGCTGAGGGCCTGGAGAGCGACTCCTCCAGGCATAGCATCATCACTGCACCCAGCAAGGTCAGTTCTCACTGTGCGATCGGGCCACAGCCAGCTGCAGGCTCTGGGAGCCAGTCACCAGGGTAGCTGCCAAAGAGTGTAGTTAACCATACTATGACCTGCGCTACACAGTCGGCCCATATGTATGTGGTTGAGTATGTAGCCGCGTCGGCGTGACTTGCAAAGGAACGAGTAAAGGTTTATTCCATAAAAGTCTGGATTGTGATATTATCCTTCTAGCGTTTGAAAGATCCAGTCTGGAAGACACCTGGCCCTTGCTTCATCAATGTCTCACTACTGTTCTCCAAGCCCCATGCATAAGTGGCACAAGAGTGTTGACTGACCTAGATGGTCACAATGAAAGGAATGAGACCAGATACTTTCCTCCCAGTGCTGCATTTATGGGAATTGGCTATGATCTGAATTATTGTAATCACTGGCATATAAAACCTGATTACTAAAAGACGTATAGTGCACTTCAGGACTGAGTACTTCATGCAGTGGAACAAATTATGCACTTGGCCAATGTGTGTTTTACTGACTTGTGTAACCATGAAAATGAGTCATTAAAAATGGAGCCAAGTGCAGTTGAATTTTATACAGAGGTCTGCATCCTGCTCCTGAAGGGCTTTTGTGTCTACCGGCTTGCATTCCGGCTGAGCTGTTTGCTTAATGAAGTACATGTGAAGGGCTTGAATGAGGGGAGCCACATTTGCTCCATTTTTGTGGTTGGTTGACTCATCTATCCCAGAATTATATCAGCTTGTTTCATGAAGGATTCCAGAGCATTTGTCAGCCCAAACCCCCCTCCCCGACCAAAGTCGCTGTCTCGGGCCGTTCCTCAGGCCCCTCTGCCTGAGCCACGTTCGTGTCCTGTGGCGACCAGTGCCCATGTCTGTTGACCCTCCCCTGGCGCTGTCTTGCAGGGTGGTAAGAAGAGCAGAACAGTGAATGCCGATGCTCCGTTCCAGTGGGACACCGAGAGGGATCATGTTCTCCAGGCTCTCACTCAGCTGCTCCAGCTCGACATCAGAACGCTGTGGAGCCTGTCGCTCGTGGAGGAGGAATTCACTAGGTCCGTCCGCGTCGGCTTCCGTCCATTGACGGGCACGCTGGTTCCCCACCTTGTTTTTCATTCCAGCCGAGCTTCCGAGATAATGGATAATTTAATCAATCTGCTTGGCACCGGTTTCTCCTCCGAGGCCTTGGGCATCATGAGCTCCTTCGTCGACAACGCGAATTGCAGAAGTCCATTTGGTTACGTTTGGGCTGAAAACAAATTTACAAATGTGCCCCAGATACAAAACTGAAATCAATTAGCTAGTGATTAAAAACTCATCTAACACCAGAACAGAATTGAAACTGATCACTGAGGGCCACGGTTACAGAATACTGGGATGGTTTGTCCATATATAAATGGCATGAGTGCTTGATTTGAACGCCTGTGAAAGAGTTCAGTGTTCAGTGCTCTGTTATCTGTACTGCCTGTAGCTGTGTTATCGTTGGTGTTATGTGCGATTTCGGATTATTTGAATTTCAGATGTCGTACACAATTTTTGGGTGTCAGTGTTCCTCCAGATTTTATCTGCTTATCTTGAAAGTAGTAAGACTTAGTATGTTGCAGCTACACACGTGTTGTAGTGTACCTCTAATGGATCTGTTTTTCTGTTGATAGCTGTGTGACGCGATGTTGTTACAAGCTCCTTGAGAACCCAGCCATCAATCAAGTGAAATACAAAAGCACCAGAGAGGCCATCATTCACCTGTTGGGGCTTCTTGTCAAGAAGTACAATCATCTTCTGGGTAAGTCTGTATTGATTCTCTCGGGTCAGTGTTCATGTCTCTGTGTTGGTGGTGTGTCCGTTGTCGGTAATACAGTACGGCTTTCTCTCAGGGGCCAGTGTGAAGGTGATCCAGCTGCTTCAGCACTTCGAGCACTTGTCCTCCGTGTTTGCTCAGGCGATGTCCGTGTGGGGCTCCGAATATGGGGTCAAGGCCATCGTGGGAGAGGTCATAAGGTGAGCGCGGCGCTGTATAGCACCGACTGAACAGTACAGTAATGTCCAGTGATGGTCTTGCTCTTCATTGCGGTAGATTCCAGTTCATCCTTCACATTCTCTCTCTCTCCCTCTTAAGAGAAATTGGTCAGAAGTCCAGTGAAGAGCTGTCACGGGAGGGGTCAGGAGTCAGGTCCTATGCTGCCTTTTTGTCTGAACTGGGCACTCTGGTCCCTGAAGCCATGGTCCCTAACATCAGTGTGTTACTGCAGCATCTGGAAGGGGAGGTAAACAATACTGAATTCACTGTGTAATATTTAATACTAAATAGTGCCATACTAAATACATCCTCTATTGTGCAAAAGTGAATACACACTTCAGCACTCACCATATTGTTATAACCCCAGTACACATTACAACTAAACCCACATTGTGCAATACTGGCTACACAGCAATATTAATGTAATTCTGAGCGTGCTTCATTGAATAACAGTCAGTATATACTAATGGCACTGTGGCTAAGGATCTGTGCCTGTGGCTGGAAGGTTGCCAGTTCAGATTCCGCAGCCGGCAGAGAAATGAACCCTCCAGGGGTGCTGTATAAATGGCTGACCCTGTGCTCTGACCCCCAGCTTCTCTCCCTGTCTGTCTCCTGGAGAGCAAGCTGGGGTATGTGAAAATACGAATTCCTAATGCAAGAAATTGTATATGGCTAATAAAGTGATCTTATCTTAAAATACTGATGCTAATTACCAGATACATCACCAGTTCTTCACAGGTACTACTACAGCACAAACTAATATTGAATATACGCTGTAGAGAATCCCATGTACTGCTCAGCGCTACACTGTAAATACAGAATGCAAACTAAATCGTATAGTACTGTAAAGTGCTCAGTAGTAGTATTCTTCATTGCTGTCCTGTGATTCTGTTGCACCTACTGATCAGTGTTGTTGCTCCAGTGTTACAGCATGCGCCTGGCGGTGTGCGAGGTGCTAGGGGAGATTCTCGTCCGGGTTCTCCATGGCGACCAGTTGTCAGAGACCAGCCGTGCAGCTCGTGACCAGTTCCTGGACACTCTGCAGGAGCACGTCCACGACGCCAACGCCTTTGTCCGTTCCAGAGTCCTGCAGGTCTTCACGCGCGTTGTGCAGAGCAAGGTAATATTTTTTGTCTCTCTCTCACTGCAGTGTCCAGTACATTTTAGTATAACCTGCTTCTGTCAGCACGCTTTTATATACTATTGAATTCAATAAGTCATTGTCCGTGAACATTTCTCTCCAAGTACTGCAGTGTCCAGTCAATCAATCAGTGTGCCTGTGTACCTGTTTGCCTCAGGCTCTCCCTCTGGTGCGGTACAGGGAGGTGCTGACTTTGGCAGTGGGCAGGCTGATCGACAAATCTGTCAATGTGTGCAAGAACGCCATCCAGCTCCTGGCAGCCTTCATCGCCAACAACCCCTACAGCTGCAAGGTAAACACCCGTGCACACATGACAAGGCAGCACAGTTTAAAACGCAGCATGCCTGAATAGCTCCCCTTGAATACTGTAGTCAAATCGTGGCCGTTTAATCTATAACCGTTTGCTTGTTTTAATATTTATTCCAAAGATGAGAGCATTTAGCAAGTTAGAGGGTGTCCTTTGCCTTTTTAAAACTGCACTGAATGTTGTGGATCTTCTCGTGGAAGAGAATAACACCGCTGTCCGGTTTTAAAGATCTGCTGAAAGATTGAGTTATCGCTTTCCCGTCTCCCTTGTCCATCTCTCTGCCTGCGTGCATGTGTGTAGCTGAGCAGTGTGGACCTGAAAGCCCCTTTGGAGAAGGAGGTGGCCAAGCTGAAAGAGCTAAAGGAGAAGGAAAGAGAGAAAGCGCCTGGTAATGTTCACACTTTTCCTTCACACCATCTGGTCTCATCTTGCTGGGATTGACAAACACTGCAGAGCAGATGTAGCCTTTCTCCCATTATTTTATAATAATTCTCGGAGGCTTTCAATGAACAGCTACTGTCAGGCCCTGTGCCACTTTGGAATTATTCAGAGTTTTGGGACGTAAATCGGACGTAATCTAAAAGCAATCTAAATACAGGTTAAAACTACATTACTATATGAAACATTACTTTTGAACTCTGATTTCTTGAACTTGTAGGATATTATTGCTCTAGCTGCGCTGTGGGCTGGAGGTAGATGGAGGTGTCTTCTCATCTGCTGCCCGATGATGAGACCAAGGCGAATGCGAGCCAGTTGGCGGTGGGTGGCTTGGTGCGCTGTCTCCTGATTGGCCAGTAATCTTGGCAGGGCTGCGGAGATTGGCTGTTCTGCTGTAAGGGCTGGCCGACAGTGAACAAGCTCCTCTCTCCCGGACTCTGCTTGTGAAGTAGACAAGCAGTGCTGGGGGTGGGGGCTGACAGTGTGCGTGTCTGTAGAGCGTGTGTGTGTGTTTGTCAGGAGACAGCGGCACACGCCTCGTTTTCCCACTTGAAGTCAGTTGGCCGTGAGCGACTTCTTTGGTAATCTGAGGGTGCAGTGTATCCAGTCAGTATCTTATTTCAGTTTCTGTCCATCTATCTCTTGATCCATTTGCACAGCGGCAATGTCTTACACTATGGCGTCGGCCATAATCCGTTCAATTGCTCATACTTGCTCCCCCTTCTTAAGTGGCAGTGATTGAGGCATGGGAGGTATGGCAGGCCATGGAGCCTGAACTTCTACAGACCGTGCAAGCGGAGCTGGACAGGAGGAGCCAGGAGGATGAAACGGAGGAGCAGAACGAAACGGAGGAGGAGATCCAGCCAGGCGGCTCTCCCAGGGACACAGCAGTGAGGATTGCCCAACTGCTTCAAAGCAACAAGTACAGGTACTAGCTGGTAGTGGTCTGCGTAGTAATGAAGTTCATTATAGACTCTAAAAGGCTGACTCTACAGGTACTGTGTATGTATTGAATGTCAGTCATAGGCGCACTGAGAGGGTTGCAAACACTGTTGGATGGATACATTGCTTCGTGACTGTATACACATAATATGCACACAAAACCTGACAGTCTGTGCTGTGGTGCTGACAGGCAGGCAGTTGGGCTGACCCTGAAAGGGCTGTCAGCATTCCCGGAGTCTGACTACTTCTCTGCAGACAGCCCCCTCACTGCAGATGGCATCATGGGCACTCTTGGGCGCATCTTCAAAGGTAAGCATGCAGTCTACATGCTGTACAGTTGCTTCCTGCAACACAGTTAGTCTGGACGTATGTTTGAGGGTCTCTCTTCGTTTCTTGAAATAGTTTGTCTCTGCAACAGTAACCAGCTTTGTCCGATTGAGCTGCATAGAACTATTCATGTCGTATAACTGGGAGGTTAACTGGGTGTCCACACTCCTTGGTAAACTCCAGATTTATCAGTCAGCATTCTGTAGGGAGAAAGACAAACTGTTTCACACAGCAGGACGAGGTTGAGCAGAACAAGAGAATTCTAATAACCCAAGCTGTGTTGCTGTGTTATGATTGCCTTTTCTCCCTGAATTCATCCGCCATAATGAGCTTTTCTTGTCTCCCTCTATTGTTTTCCCAGGCTCGGAAGAGGATTCTGGGAAGCAGGAACCTGTCACCGTTGTGGCTGATAAGAAAGAAGAGGGGAGTGAGGAAGAGAGGGAGGAGGCATCCAGTGAACTGAAGAAGCAAGAGATGCTGGTTCAGTACCTGAGAGACACCGAGAGCTTCTCCTTGCAGATAGAGGAGGCCATCTCTCTCATCACCTCTATGCTGTACTGGAAAACTACGTCGGGTACCTGCCTGTCTTTTTATGACTTATTTTTTCTTCTACCTCACTGTGAGGTATGAAGCATGACAGTCTTATGCAGGTGTTTGTCTGCCATCATAGCTGCCCCCTTCTCTCTCTCTCTCTGTGGCCCAGGGGATGTTCTGTGAGCTTGAGATGTCTTTACATCATTGTCCCTCTCTCTCTCTCAGTGGTGCAGGAGGCGATCCAGTTTTGCGTGACGGTCTGTGAATTCGGGGTCTCTCAGTCTCTAAATGGGGTCAGGAGGATGCTGCCCCTGGTGTGGTCTCCGGACACGGCGGTGCGGGAGGCCACAGTGGAGGCCTATAAGAGACTCTACCTCCGACCCCCAGGAGACACACTCAGGTACACTGTGATAAACCCTTCTAACATCTTGCGGACGGTCTTGCTTTCTTTCTCTTTTCTGTAGTGTTGGAGCTCATCAGGATCTTTTCACTCCTCCCTTTGTGCATTTGTGATTTATCTGATGCCTTTCATGCTGCAAACTTAATAGTAAGTTTGGGAAGTTCATTTCATAGTCTTGGAGCCATGGAACAAAAGACAATCTCCCAGTGTTTTGAGCTCATATTGTGAAGCATATGAAGAAGCCTGAAGTCCAAAAAGCACCAATAGCAATGTAAATGTCTCTCGTAAACGGTCAATTAACAAAGTTTTTCTTAAAAGGCCTTAAAGGTGAGCAGCAGCAGTTGGTCACCAGGTGTCCTTCACTGATCTTTCTTTCAGGGCCAAGGCTCAGACCCTCGTTCACAATCTCTCGGTGCTGATGGTCGATGCCTCTCTGGGAACTATTCAGTGTCTGGAGGAGATAGTAAGTCTGCTCTTCACACACCTCTCTTGTAGGGGTTTGACACACTGTTGCTAAATAACCTGCTGTTCACTACACTTGCAAATGGCTAGAAATGGGCTATCTTCCTCCTGCACATCATCGTATGTGTTCTAAAAACCACGGGATTGAGACTAGTTCCTCAAAGGATGAGGGAGTCCTTGAATGTTTTAGAGATAGAAGAAATGTCAGTTCTGTTAATTGTCAGATGTGGACAATAAGCATGCTCCAAGAAGTCTGTCTCCCCTTTATTGGGACAGAAGTTCTGTGTACGTCCCATTCTGTTTAACTGCATAATCCCTCTTTCACGCGTCCACAATCCTGTAACCCCCCCTCTCCTCCCAGGTGCTGGAGTTCTTCCAGAAGAGCGAGCTGCAGTCAACTGTAATCCAGGTGCTGTGGGAGAGGTTCACGGGGAAGACCGCCTGTTCGGGGCTAGAGCGCCGCGCAGCCGTCTTACTGCTGGGCATGGCAGCACGGTAACGCCATCGGACTGCGTTGCATGTCCTGTGTGTGCACTGTTATACGCCCTTCCGGGTCTGCAGGCACCGAATGTTAATCCGCTCGGCCTGCTCCTGCAGCTCCAGAGGCATCGCAGTGGGAGTGGGGGCTTTTGCGTACACGTTCTCCGACGTGCCCACTGTTCACAGTTTAACACCCTGCCAGCTCAGTGTGAACTCACAGGTTCACAATTAATGTTAAATTAGCAAGTAACTTCATGGTATCTCAGCCCTGGATTGTAAGGGTTGTCTCAAGAAATGTCCAGGTCCAGAGAACAGGAAAAATCAAACTTGTTTGAAATCTTAAGGGATTTATTCCACAGAATTCTGAATACCCACACTAATCGGGATGAATGCTTCTTTGTTTTTGAAAATATGCTGTTAAGTTGGTTATTCCCAAAACACGGCCTATATATGTGCACAGTGCGACAAATGCAAATTGAAGAGTGAAAAAAGGAACGACTGACAGTTTAACCGTGCCTTGTGTGTTTGTTTTGCTTTCCCGTGAACAGTGCTTTCATAGTCCGTTTGTGCCTCATTAACGTGAGTATGTCTGTTTCAGGGCGGAGAAAGAGGTGGTGTTGAGCAACCTGGACACTCTGGTGTCAGTTGCTCTTGGAGAGAAAGTAATGGAGGATTTCCTTCTGGCCCGAGACGCATGTATCGCCGTCTCCAAAATTACAGACAAGAACAAGGTACTGCATTGCACACGAGCCGTGTACTTGCACTTGTGTAGTGAGCAAGCCAGTAACATCACTCTCTCCCCCCTACTAGACTCAGCAGAGGAAAGACGGCCGTCCTTTCAGACTGCCGCAGGATCACCAGCTGTTCACTGCTCTCACGGATGCCATCACTGCAGGTACAGCTACAGAAAAGGCATCCGTCCTTAATGCTGTCACTTGGTCTGTACAGGTGTTACTTTAGAAGGGTTTATAACAGTGCATGCTCACGTTCAGTGTGATAAACCCTTCTAACTTCTCAAGGCTTTCCCACAGAGATCACCCTCTCTCGATCAATATTGCTCTCACCTTGTTATTATAGTCTGTCCTATGCCATACAGTACCACATGACCTGTTTTCTCTCTCCCCATCACTTAAGGAGTGTTGCTCAATGATGCCTACTGGGTCTCCTTTATGGAGCAGGCTGTCAGTCTGATCTACCAGCTCTCCGAGTCTCCTGACAAGACCTGCGCCCACATACTGAGAAGCTGCACCAAACGGCTGTTGGATGAGATCACCCAGGGAGGAGGCTCAAAGGAGGAGGAGGACACATTAGAGCATGGCAGTCAGGACAACAGTGACCCATGTAGCCAAAGTTACCAAGGTACTGCTGACCTCATGAAAACTAGATATACTCCAACACAAAACCCACACAGAATCTGTGTTCCACTTTCTCAATCGGTGGTGTGTAGTCATACAGTATTAATGCTACGATCAGTGGCACATTTACAGAGTACAGAGTACCATGCGCAGTCGGTGGAGAGTTTACAGTACACCGCTGTCTGTAGTTTGTTTCTGACTCTCTCTCTCTCCTTCTCTCAGTGCAGTGCGGGGCTCTCGCTCAGCTCCTGTCCCTGGCCGGCTCGGTGGCCTTTCAGCAGCTGGAGCACCTGGAGCGCAGCGTGAGTGGAGAGCTGAGGAGGAGGAGAATGGAGAAGGAAGAGAAGCAGAGCGCCCCTGACAGGACGCCCATGGTAATAATAATAATAATCTCTTTACAGTTACATGGCGCCGTTCTGGACGCTCCACTCAGAGCGCTTCACAGGTAATGGGGATCCCCTCCACCACCACCAGTGTGCAGCCCCACCTGGATGATGGGACGGCAGCCATAGTGCACCAGAACGCTCACCACACACCAGCTCTCAGTGGGAGGAGAGCAGAGTAATGAAGCCAATTCGTAGATGGGGATTATTAGGAGGCCATGATTGGTAAAGGCCATTAGGAAATTTGGCCAGGACACCGAGGTAACACCCCTACTCTTCTCGAGAAACGCCCTGGGATTTTTAATGACCACAGAGAGTCAGGTCCTCGGCTTTACGTCTCATCCGAAGGACGGAGCCTGTTTACAATCCAGTGTCCCACGGTACTACATGGGTCCCACGGGAGAACTGAATGAGGGGGGCTCTGAGGATGGGCTGACGATTAAGTCAATCAATGGGAAACTGACATCAGCATAAACAAGTATCCAAAAGAAATCTTTAAACAATGCTCCGATACAAATGTATGGCATCAATCACACAGTAGCTGCTGCACATTCTTTTATAGCACAACTTCAGACTGGTGTCTCTGCAGAAGGATAGAGTACAAAGTGAAGTTCCCTCAGCAGGAGGGGAAAACTCAAAGAAGGGACTGGGACATTTGTTTTAACTGCATCTTAACCACTGAGCCACACAGTTTGCAACAAATAAGTACATTTTGGTTTTCACATGACATGTAACATGACGAGCTGAAAAGATCAAGTTGTGACGAGCTATAAAAAGTGTAATTGTAGACTTTTTGCATTTTTCACTTTTTCCCCCACTACACTAATGACCTTCACCACTCGGCTGTGCCCCTGTAGCATTCATCCAACGAGACGACGGTGGAGGAGGAGATGGGTTTAACAGGAGCGTCGGCTGAAGACACTGAAGCGGAGCTCATCAGGAAGATCTGCGAGACTGAGCTGCTGCATGGTAAGCAAGCGTCTTAGTCTCATTAGCACTCTAGTGTCAGTAGGACACCGGTCCGTTTCTTCTTCTTAAGCTGTCAGCTGTGTGGGAATTCTCAATCTGCTTCGTATGCAAAGGGGAGGTTTAAGTAACTTGGCTAGCACTGTAGTTTAAGAACTGACAGACTGACAGTCTTACTGAAATTCAATGTAAATGTCCACTGTTGATGCTGCTAGCCAGAGGGGCTACAACACCAGTTATGGACGGACAGAAGGTATCTATATTCCCTCCACCTGATCCTTTAATTCTGAAACTTTTTTTATAAATCAGACACTGCCTTTCCTTGTTAAGAAGCAGGAAATTTAAGGAGACCTATAAACACTGGTGGGGAAAAAAGTCACTTGAGGGCCAGAGTTGGTCCCCCTGCTGTCAGGCAACATTGACAGTGAACCTAACTGCGCCTCTCAGGAACTGCCTTGTAATGAATTACAAGAGTTCAAGCAATGAGTGTGCTTCAAGCAAGCTGTAGAGTTTTCCAGCTGTCAAATCCATGTTCTCTTTGTTACATTTTGTTTATTGCAGACAGATTCTCTTTGCTAGAATCTTTCAGTAACGCTTTAGGACAGGAGACGGTGGGAATGAGAGGAACTAACGCAGAATCCCTCTGTAATAAACACACACAATCGGATAGAGGTGAAAAGGATTGATCGATTAAAGCAAGAAGTGGTAGTTGTCGTTTTTCCTGGTTCTTGTTTCCTTGCTTATTGAGCCGCATGTGTTACCTGTTATCAGAGGAGACTGTGCTCACACCCTTCCTGCCGCTGATGGTTAAGGTCTGCAGCAACCCCGGCCGGTACAGCCACCCCCAGCTCAGCACTGCGGCCTGCCTGGCCCTGGCCAAGTACATGATGATCAGGTAGGCGGGCTCTGGTTTTCTTCTCCCTCGCCGAGTCCTGAATTCACTTCCTCGGTGGTCTTCTCTGTTCAGCACTCAAATAGTTCAGTCTGTCGTTGTCGTTGTGAGACAGTCCTTTAAGTCTAGGAATTTCTGTAAATGGGGTAAACAAAATAAGAATGCCATGCCCATATAAGCGGAGCATAATCTTGAAGATCCTAGTATTTTTATTTTTTATGGCATCTCCACCCTTCATTTTACAGTGTAAGTAATGCCTGTACATGAGCACTTTTTTTCCATGGGTCGCTTTTTATAAATGTGGTGTTCCCCAATAAATTATAGAAGCCTATAGGGTTTTTTTTTATTAGGCTTTTATGTGGAACATTATCAAAAGCCTTTTGAAAATGTGAAAATCCCTTACGTTCTCTGTATTTTACAGCTATTATTTCCTCCCCAAACAAAGCACAATTCACTTAATTCCATGTTGCTTTTCTCGTCGAATCCTGTTGCCAGACAAATGACCCTCTAGTTTCCTCTTCATGACCTTACCTGTAATAGAAGTGAGACCTGCTGGCTTGAGCTGGAAACCTTGCATTAACAGCTCTTGTGCTCTTCTTTCCTCAGCTCTTCCGTTTGCGACAGTAACCTACGCCTGCTCTTCACGATGCTAGAGAAAGCCTCGCTGCCCTCCGTCAGGTCCAACACCATCATCGCGCTGGGGGACCTCACCATCCGCTTCCCCAACCTTATCGAACCCTGGACCCCACACCTATACGCCAGGTAGTATACAAGACTGTGATTAGGGTTGGGATGTAGTTGCGTGTACCGGGAATTCCGGATAAATTCCATGGTATTTGTCGTCTGTAACTACTTTTCTTATCTGTTGGAAGTTATGACAAAGCACTGAACTTCTAATGCAACTTGGAAAAAATCCATCTTGCAAAAAACATTGGCTGTCATGAATAAATTAGCTTATCTCTAAGTTTCTCTGTAGCCACAGAAGTTTAGCCCAGTGTCAGTATTGTAAATGTCCCTTTGTTGGCTGATACTCGTACAAGTACATATCTCTTCGTATTTAACAAGGTGCGCTTGGGACTACCTGCCGTGCTTTGAAGCCTGCAGTTCTCATTTGCCCTATTCCTTCATAATTGGGGCATGAATTTCTTAAATAAGGCTAGGAGTTTAATTTATAGAATATTGAGAGAGTGTGTATAAAACAGTAGAACCTGTTTTCACACAACGTGTATGATACCCATACCTTGTAGACTGTAATGAACAGCATTTATATAGGCTGTATCACAGGCTAACTGCTATCTCTGTCTCATTCTCAGGCTTAGTGACCAGTGTCCTTCAGTCAGGCTGACCGCTCTCACAGTTCTGACACACCTGGTGTTGAAGGACATGGTGAAGGTCAAAGGTCAGGTCAGTGAGATGGCCTTGCTACTGATTGACCCCGAGTCGAAGATTAGCAGTCTGGCTCTCAACTTCTTCAATGAGCTGGCTGGCAAGGTAATATAGTCACTATAATGGTTTTACTGTGCTTCTTACCCTTTCCTCTCTGCTGTGCAGCGCAGACAGAAGCTAGTACTGAAATTGGTATTGTTACCCTACCCAGTCTCTACCCTGGGTTTCTTTATCCTGCATATAGAGAACTGATTAGTACCTACCTACTACACTATGAACTAAAGGTGTATTCTCATCTGCTGCCCGATGATGAGACCAAGGCGAATGCGAGCCAGTTGGCGGTGGGTGGCTTGGTGTGCTGTCTCCTGATTGGCCAGTAATCTTGGCAGGGCTGCGGAGATTGGCTGTTCTGCTGTAAGGGCTGGCCGACAGTGAACAAGCTCCTCTCTCCCGGACTCTGCTTGTGAAGTAGACAAGCAGTGCTGGGGGTGGGGGCTGACAGTGTGCGTGTCTGTAGAGCGTGTGTGTGTGTTTGTCAGGAGACAGTGGCACACGCCTCGTTTTTCCCACTTGAAGTCAGTTGGCCGTGAGCGACTTCTTTGGTAATCTGAGGGCACAAGATAGTCGCAGATGTTCCCTGTCTTTCTTTGATAATATCAGCTGGCGGCAGAAACCCATGTGTAATCAGTATATTAAGATTCCTTCCATCGTGTTGCGTTGCTAATGTACTGTCCAATCAGTCACTGTCTCTCTTCTCAGGACAATGCTATCTACAATCTACTACCCGACATCATTAGCCGCCTGTCAGATCCCGAGAGGGGAATCGCAGAAGAGGACTTCCAAACCATCATGAAGTGAGACAATTAATGAGTACCCTTGACTGCGCTGTCTGTTCCCTCAAATGCTTCAGAGCTTGCATCTGTTAACTGTTTTAGGCCCCTGACTAAATATGCGTATAGAGTTGACATTTGGATCTGTACTAATATTTCTGTTAGGCATCTCTCCTAAGTCTGGTATCATCTTGAACTCTCTCCAGGCAGTTGTTTTCCTACATCACAAAGGAGAAGCAGACTGAAAGTCTAGTGGAGAAACTGTGCCAGAGGTTCAGGACAGCGAAGTGAGTGAATGTTTTTCTCCTGGTCTAATATTATACTGCCCATAATAATAATAATAATAATAATAATGTTTCTTTATTAGCCCTATACAATTTCTTGCATTAGGAATGCGTCTTTTCGCATACCCCAGCTTTTTCTCCAGGGAGACACAGACACATATCCCATGTGATAAGAGATACCTCTTAGTTCATGAGGCGAGTTCTTGAGCTTGTGGCCGTCCGTATTCCTGATTCTCTGCTGGTCCGCAGGAGCGAGCGGCAGTGGCGGGACCTGTCTCACTGCCTGTCCCTGCTGTCTCTCTCGGAGCGGGGCTTCAAGAAGCTACAGGAGTGCTGGGAGTGCTACAGTGACAAGCTGAGCGAGGAGGGGGTCTACCAGGGGCTCCTCGCCCTCGTTGGCAAACTGCGCCGGGCTGCCAAGCCAGAAGTCAAGGTACGGCCCAGCTGTTACATGACGGAGAATTTGTTTTTTTGACAGAGGCCGGGAGGTTTGTTTTAGAGATGAAAATCATTGTCACTAAATGTTGCTACACTGGGAGGTGAAATGCTCCTGTCCTTCTTAGTGTGCACCCTCCTGCTGGCCCTTTCATTTTTAAACAGCAGGCACTTGGTGAGTTCAGACATTTCCATGCTGTTGCAAGCTCAGGATGTGTTGACTGGCCTAAGCCCACTTTACCTGCATGCCTCTCGCTCAGTTTTGAACTGTCAACAGCGAATCCGGTTCATAGATGGCACAATAACCTGCCCCAGAACTCGGAGTAAGCGGACACATTTACTGGTTGGGCCACTGGGGAGTTTGCAGATTCTTTCTGCTTTATTTGCTTTTAGCATTAACATTTGAATATATTTTTTCTATATACGGCATCCAGTCTCCATGTGCGTTTGGAGCAATCTTACAGCAAACGTTTCTGCAAATTTTTTCTCTGCGTGACAATTTTAAAAGGTCTTTATGCAAGTTTGCATGAATGAGCACTGTGTTCCACTTGATGAAGCATCTTAAGACCCAAAAGGCAGCTGTTCTTCTTGAGGATGTCATTTGTCAGCGCGCTCGCTACCAGCACAAGCCAGAGCCCAAGTGACACTGCACCATTCCTTCGTTGTCGTCTTCGTCTTTTCCCCCTGCTTCTCTTCACCTTTCTGTCCTCACCCCCTCACTGCCTCGGTCAGGCCCAGGTGGAGGAGTTCGAGAAGCGTCTGACGGCAGTACACACCCGTGGTTTGGAGAACGTGGAGACGGAGGAAGGAGATGGAGGCTCACAGACCACCAAGACCCCTGCTGCCACCAGGAAGACTGACCGGAAACCCACACGAGGTAAGGGAGACAACTCAGTTCAGGGTAGATGTATCCAAAATATCTAAATGCATTCCAGTACTGTACATAAAGACCCAAACCAAGTGAACAGATGCATCAGGTATGTATAGAGACAGCATAGTACAAAACCATACTAGTTACATGCTGACCAACCCTTCAAGCCCTTCTTTTTTCTCTTTCCTTCCCTTTCCTGCTTTTATTTTTTAAGAAGCCAGTCTAAATATTTCCAAAAGGATTCGTTTTAATATTTTTTTCAACCTTCGCTCGCTCTATCTCCCCCACAGGCAAAAGCAGGACCCTGACAGCCCAAAATGACGACAAAGATGATTTCTGTACTCCCAAGACGAAGACGAGAAGAGTTCCCAGGAAGAAACCCACGATCTCCTTCAGCAGCGACGAGGAGGAGGAAGGTAAGACTGTGATGCATTGCCCATTTGCAGAATCGCCTGTTGCTGCTCAATGAATGTGCACAATAAATAGTATCACACTGATAAGTTGTTAATTATGAGCTCATTAAACAACTAGTCACTTCAATATATCCGAAACCACATAAACTGTAATGAAATACTTTAAGAACCTTTATTTCTCCTCTGCAGAGTCGTCCGTCAATTGTGCTTTATTTAACAACTGTGTAATGCTTAAATGAAAAGTGATGCATATCCAGTTAAGGACTAATTTTAATATTGCATACAGGCTCTTAAGTATCCCACATCAATATGAAATAATATGATCACCCTAATACTTATATACTATTTCTGTGATACAAGTCAGTGAGACTAATAGGTTAGGCATTAGAGGTACAGGCAGAAACTATTGCATATGTGCTCAGGATGACACCGTCATGTTTCTTAGTATGCCAAGTATTTCATTGAAACAGCACCTTTTTGAACACTTTTATACTCGAGTAGGTCATCAGGTTCAGAGTCTCAATGTATTGACCTCCAAGCTCTTAGCCTGTTCAGTCAAACAGCAACCAAAAACTGCTTCCCTTTAGTTATGCCCCTCGAACCAGCCCTCTGTGGTGCTCTTGCACTCCTTGGTCATGAGATCAGTATTTGTAGGGGAGTAGCCTCACTTCGGTGGTTGTTCTTCAGCCAAGAAAAAAAAAACAGGAAATTATTTTCAGAATTGTGAAGGGATAACTTTCTATCTGAGCCAGGAATGAGACTGCGGCAGTAAACTCGGAGCCCTTGTTTTGCATGTGTGCCAAAAAAATGCTAGGTCTTCACAGTCGAGTGAAGAATTCGGTCTGGCTGTAGTGCACAGCGAAATGCACCGATTGTGGATGATGAGCAATGGAGAGAAGTCAAGTGTCTTCAGTCTGGTTTTGGTGCTAAACTTCTTTAAAACATTTGCCAGAATCAACACCACAAAATCTAAAGAATTTAGTGCAGGCTTTTTTTTTAAATGACAAGTGATATTCAAATCCCGCAGCTCACCTTTCAAGGATTTGGGCGATTCTGACCAATATCATGACTTTTTCCTCCTGCTTTGTGAACCTTGTCTGGAGCCACAGCGTGCTTGATCATACTGCCCCTCTACTGGCACGGGCAGAGGCCCCGCTCCCCGTCGGCGTTTGTCATCTGTGCGTTTGTTTCTTGCAGAGTCCGCCGCCGAGCTTTCGGAAAACGAGACCCCGAAGGTCACGACGCCCATCTTGCGCTCTGCTCGCCGCTCCAGAACCAGACGCTGAAGAAGGGAGAGACGGGTCTAAGCCAGTTCTCTGGCATCCTTTAAGAATCTGCTTGATGACACTTGTGGGATGTTGGTGAGCTATTGTAGAGCAAGATAAACTGAACAGAGCCTTTCTCTATTCCTCTGACTGGCCCCACAAGATGAGGCAAGGCCTTTCCTCCTCCATCTCTTTGTGTATTCTGTTACCAGTGACCTGTCTGTACATTTGCCTTCCGCCCTGACCACCTCTTGATGTTTCACTCTGTATTCTGTTGTTTTTTGAGATTTTGTGAACTACATAGACCTTTCTGTTTTGTTTTGTTCTTGTGTTTCCCACTTCAATCATGATTTTAGAGATTGTTAAATAAACTCCCATTTTCTGAGCCCGTCTCCTTTCCTTTGATCAATCGTGGATCTTGTGTTGGAGCAGTCTGACAGAAGACCGACATTGCACACCCTCCCACGTTGCTGCAGCTGCTTGAACAGCATTGTGGGAATCGTTCTTTATTTCATAACCCAACTGTTTCAAGTGACCTATCCAATCTTGTGACATCGCAGGAGGTTAGCCTGGACGCACCTGTGCGTCCTCTCGCCCGACCGGCACTCTCGGCTGCTGCAGCAATGCCCAGTAGGAGATCTTTGGTACCTCTTCGGGTCCGGAGGCCAACAGCCTCCAGAACACTGATGGAGCCGGCACGTCGGAGGTAGTGCACTGGATTTCAAAGGTCAGAGACATGCCAAGATGTTGGGCGATGGGGAAAAAAAACACCCCGCGTTTCCTGCATGGCTTTAGTAACAGAATTGGAGGTATACAATGCAACGTTTTTGGAACCCATCAACTGCCTCTTAAAACTGTGATCCCGATGGGGAATGAGGTAGCTCATCTGTTTTATTAAAGTGCATAAATTTTAGAACCCTGACATTCTACAATGAGCTTAGCGCTGGCAAATGGCAGAATGTCACAGCTGTACCAGACAGCCTTCATAACTCAATTCCTCCCAAGCCCCAGTTTCACAGGCCGCTGCCTGACAAAACTTGGAATCAGTTGGCAGCAGGCAGCTGCTCACAGACCAGGTGACGTCTTTATTTCCAAGGGGGGTGGTACGGGAGAGAGGTGAATGCGTTTGGCCGGGGTTGGAGGCAAAAATACACACCCACAAAAAGACTGGGAGCTGCTGCCTTTTGGAACAATTCACGGGGATGTCATCAGACCCGGAAGGTTGTTATTAACGCCGTCGTGTTTGGTGACTGATCGCGCGGCTCATGGCATGAGCACACACCCCCTTGTGAGCCGTGAGTGGGGGCTGAAATTCTGACGGGCTCAGCTCCAGCCCAGAAGCATTCCTGACTTTTGTGCCCATTGCAGTGTCGTCGATGCAGCCCAATCTCGTAATGAAAAATTTTAAACGGTTTGGAAGTTAGAGAAGTTTGGAATGTGCTCCCAGCATTTTGGGAGTGTGGAGTGGCAGCTCGTTGGCTTAAATCCACTTTTCTAGGGGGTTGTAAGGTACTGATGTTTGGCAAACACCTAGAAAACAAGCCAAAATACCAGAGAGCTCCTGCATTCCAGTGAGACTGACTGAACCATGGGTGTCCAATCCTAGTCAGGGAGCTGTGCTGTATTAGCTTTTTTTTTTTCCTAGGCCTCTAAAAAAATAAAACAGTATCTTAAGACTCAGGAGACGTTATACTGGACTTAGGCTGTTTAATAGATGAGCTGGAATAGGAGCTGCTGCCCCTCCGAGATGGCAGAGCCGGGGACTGGAGACGACGGTGGGAGGGGTCGCTTGCAACTTAAGGTGTTCATTGTGTGGAAAGGCTGCCCCGTGATGGGTGTCCTTTGCATTTCAAATGATTTCTAAAGGGGGACGATGTGGTGGCAGGGTGGCCTCACAGCTGGGTTCCTGGTGTGCTGTCTCCGTGGAGTTTGCGTGTTCTGCCCAGGTTTACCCGAGTTTCTTCCCACAGTCCAAAGGCAAGCAAGTAGGGTAACTGGCCTTTTGGAATATTGGTTCTGATGTGTGTGTTTGTCCGTCTGCCCTGCAATGGACTGGCGTCCCGTCTGAGATGTACCCCGCCTTGCACCCATTGCTTTCTGGGATAGGCTCCAGCTGTCCCACCAGACCCTGAATTGGATAAAGCGATCAGAAGAGGCAAAACCTAATTCCAGTTGCTTTCTGCTAAACTGAGTCCTTTTGCAATGCATTCCCTGGCTGCTGAGAAAAGCTGGCTCTAGCAGGTGGGGGGGGACGCCCCTCGCGCTCGCGAAGCCCGGGCCGAGGGGGTCAATAGCGCCTCCTGGTCCCGACGGTGGATTCGTCTGCCCTGCGCTCGGCAGTGGTGTGTGGGAGTGTGCTTGACTGTTCTCCCCCCCCCACCGCCACCATCTTCACTCCGCGCTAACCCCCGGCCTCCGCAGTGCGCCTGTGCCTCACCGGCACGGAGGACCGTACGTCAATGCGTTTGCCAGCTTGACACCTGACGGTTTCTGTCCTGCTTCCCCGTGCCTCTCGTCCTCTTTTTTTTTTCCTCGTTTTCGCCCGTCTTTCTGACCCTGACTGGCAATTTCACTCCTCTTTTTCTCTCCCCCTCCCTTCCATTCCCATTATTCGAACTTCTTCCTGCTCTCTGCCTCCCCCCCCCACCTATTTTTTTTGTCCTCCAGCTTGATTCCTCATCCTCCTCTCTCTCCCTCCCTCCCTCCCCCTCAGTCACCGTGACTCTCTGTTCCCACACTAAGCTCTGGCTCTCGGTTCAGAGGTGTAGAAACAGCTGCACTTATCTGCGCTCAACACACTGCGCTTGTGTGGGCGGCATATTATAATTTCAACAAAAAAAAAGTTAAATGGCTTAATTTGAACAAAAAAAAAACTACTTAGGCAAACTTTTTTTTTCCCCCCGTGCAGGAAAAGTTACAGATTCAATTGAGCTGGGAACAAAGCCCTGTCTCCTCTGATAAGCCAGCCGCACGGAGCGGTCGTGTGCAATGTGTGTGTTGGCTGGGCCCCAGCGCTGGGCGGGCGCGGCAGGGGGCAGCAAGAGCAGATGGCTCTGACAGACGGTAACTCACCGCGAGAAGGGGCTGGCTGGAGGCGAGGGCCCGGGGGCAGAGATGGGGGGGGTGCGACGTTTATGGTAGCCGAAAGATCGATGGGGAAAAGTGGGGGGATAAGCAGGATTTGAAAAGGGGGCAGAGAGAGGTGGAAGGAAATGGAAAAGCGAAGAGGAGGCAGAGGGAGAAATGGGGGAATACAGGAGGGACGTGAAGGGAAAGGACGATTTTTGTTGCTTATAAATAATTCCTGACGCTTAAAGAGCGCTGTTCTGGACACCCCACTCAAAGTGCTTTACAGGTCATAGGGATCCCCCTCCAGCACCGCCAGTGTGTACCCCCACCTGGATGATGCGCCAGCACTCTCCCCACACACCAGCTCTCAGGGGGGAGGAGAGCAGAGTGATAAGATCGCTTTATTGGCTATATACAATTTCTTGCATTAAGAATGTCTTTTCGCAGACCCCAGCTCGCTCTCCATGAGACACAAAGACAGGGAGAGAGAAGCTGGGGGTCAGAGCGCAGGGTCGGCCATTTATACGGCGCCCCTGGAGCAGCTGGGGTTCAGGGCCTTGCTCGGGGGCCCAACGGAGTAGGATTCCTCTCTGACTGAGGACAATGCATACAATTAACCAATTAACTGTTCTTTTAAAAAACCCAAATAACACAAATGTCAATAGCGGCCAGCAACTGGCCTTTCGTCAAACCTGGTTCTTCCCCAGCACATCCAATCATAAGAGGTCACCTTCCCTCCCTAACCGAAGCGTTGCGCGACGCTCCTGCCTCTTCGCTGCGCTAGCTCTCGGAAGCGGCCCAGCGGCGCCTCTTTTCCCCAAACTGCTATGCAGCATTTCCTTCTTTTTGTCCTCCCGCTGGCAGCTGAAAGGGAGCTGAAGCCCGAAGCGGCGGGCATGGAGAGGGCAAGACGGAGGTGGCTGAGGGTGGAGCCCAGGGGAGGAAAGGAGAAAAAGAAGAGAAGGGAAAGGAGGAGTTGGGAAAAGGAGGGCAGGAGGACACACTGAGCGACGTAGTGCAAGAAAACAGGGAAGGCCCAGAAAGCAATGTCTGGATCTCCCAGGTGAGCTGCTGTACGGTCCCCCCCCCAGCCCCACACACCAGCAGAAAATTGGTTCCCACCACCCGATACTCCACTGGGGAGGAAGGGAGGGGGCAGTAATTGCGGCCACATAGCCCTGTCTGAGCCACTACTCCTGGGGCTATGTGGTCACTTCCTGTGCAGAGAGTCAGGTGCACCAATCAAGAACAGGAAGGGTGGAGGAGACAGGGATTATAGAGTCCCAAGGTGGGTGGGGGTCGGTAATGCAGACCCACTCACTAACTGGACACTACTGCACTTTCATA